GTTCGTTGCCAGATAGTTTCTTTTTCTTCCTTGGTACACAATTCCTTCCAGCTCTTTGTAGAAGCTCTTTCTATATTCCTTGTGTACTCCTCTTTGGCAATCAGGTATTGTTGTATGACGTGATTTTTCCGTTTTGGGTGTGCGTTCTTTATTCTTCTTCTGATTCTAATCATTTCGTCCTTTTTCTCTTTTAATTCGGCGTTCCACCATTTCGCTGCCTTAGGCATTTGCTTCCTTTTTTATTATTGGAATTATTTTATTACAGGCTTCTAAGATACACTCTGTATATTCAACTACAGTTTCGTCTAAAGCTATTGGTGTCTTTATCTCCTCTATGCTTTCTTTGGAGAGACCCTTCTTGTTTATCGCTTTCTCTAATTCTGTCCTAAATTTATTCCAGTCAGCACTCTTTGTGTTGAATTTTCTGGTGCTATTAATTATTATTTTCTGTGGGGTGCTTAGTATAGCGAGGTTAAAAAGGATGGGTTTATGATTAGAGATTGTGCAGAATGAATCATCTATTCTCCAGTTATTGATTTTGTGTAGCAGAGAGGACGTGCATAATGTAATGTCAATTATACTCGAACAGAGTGAACCCATTCTAAATGCGCTAAATGTAGGAAATTTGCCAATATTCAAGATCTCGAGATTAAGTTCTGCTATGGTTTCCATTAACAGAGTTCCCCTTTTGTCGTCCGCCTTGCATCCCCACCAGATGCTGCTAGCATTAGAGTCGCCTCCAATGATGACGTCTTCAGTGTTCATTGCTTCTTTGAATCGTTTGATTGTGCTTAAGTCTTCTTCGATAATACCTTTCTCATGTAAGTACATGCTGATTAAGCCTAGATTAGTATAACCTATATTGAGTTCTACTCCTACAATATCTTCAGTTAATAATTTAGGGTTAATAGTAAACTGAATGTTTGGATCTGTGATGACAATTGCGGATCTTACCGGTTTGGTTTTGTCGTTTGTGATCTTTTGTATGACGCGGTACTGTGATCCAACGGTTACATGTGATTTGGCTCCAACGTAAGGCTCCTGCATTAGTATCACTGAGTAGCCTTTCGTTGTTGCTGCACGTATGCATTCTAGAGTGGCCGCGCGTCCCCGATCAAGGTTATATTGTACTATTTTAATGACATTTTTATTGCCTGAAGGGCTTGTTGAAACTGTTTTATTGTATGTATCGTCTGATTCTTAGCAGTAAGAGACTGAACTTCTGGCTATCTTGTCCCATTTCTGCCACTCTGGGCATTCGGGGCTATATGCTGGATGTGTCACATTTTCTTTGCCTAGGTTCCTGCAGTTGATACATACGGGAGCAGTATTTCGGTTTGTACATGTTCTAGTATCGTGGCCCCCTGAGCAGTAGCCGCAACCCTGTTCTTTTGTGCAGTCCTTTGATCTATGATTGTAGCCCAGACACCTGTAGCATTGAGTAAGTGGTGACTGATCAATGCAGGGAACCACCTGGTATCCGATGCGCAATTTTTGATCTTTTAACCGACTCCACATTTGCGGAGAGACCTCTAGTATGACGTTACTTAATTCACGGGTTCTGCCTTTTGTTCTGCGAAGTATTCTAAGTGATTTTTGTTCTTCGGGCAGGTCTATAATTAATTTAGAATTTTGCAATATGATTGCTTTGGCCAATTTCGTATCATTAAGGTCGTTCGTAACTCCAATCAGGCGTATTTGCGGGTGTTTCACTGGCGGCGTTGAAACTGTTAGTTTATTGCATGAATCCCGTATTGCTGTTTTTAGTACTTGTCTGTCCTCAGGGGAGTCACAGCATATTACCACTCTCTGATTTCTTAATTTTGTTACTTTATTCACCCTTACACCAAGTTCTACAGCATCAACGTCTGATCTGACTTGCTTCATAATTTCGTCACACGTTGATCGCGGGTCTATGGACTCTATAATCATGGCATATCGAGGTGTTGCCGTTGCTTCTGCGTAGGTAGGTTTATAGGGCTGAATTGGTTTTATGTTTTCTGAGTGTGGTGTTATTTTTTCATTTTGTTCATCATTTCTGTGAATGTTTGCATATGTCCTGTTGTATTCTTGTTTAAGTTCTAAGATTTTTTCGTTGATGTCAGCAATTGCCAGTTCTGTACCCAATCCTGAGTTACCTTGAAGCACTGTTTGCGCAGTGCTGCATTCTTTTAATTCATTCACCTCGTCGTAAAGTATTTTTATCATATCGACAACAGGTTGTATCACCTTTTCTAGATCCTCCTTTTGGGTGTAGCCTGTTAATTCAGTTGTATCTGTCTTGTGATTTAGTGTTTGTAACATTTCTTTAATTTCTTTTTGGTTGTTTATTATAACATCAATACGGGGGGGGGGTCCTCTGGCACTTTTAATTCTGTGTGGATGGGTTGTTGTGCCTCGCCTTGAGATTTGGCTAGCTCGTTTATTGAAAGGCACAGGCTTTGAAGCTGTTTTCCCATTTCCGTGACCGTCTTAGAAAGATGTGCCAGATTCTCAGAGCCCAGGTCAGAGTATGCTGTAGAAGTTATAGCAGGTAGTGGAGACTGGGATTTAGCTGCTAAACTACAGACTTCTACTTTAATTTTGCTTATAGCCTTCAATGGTTCGTCCATTTCGTAGCTTAGCCAATTTCTAATCGCGTCGACAGCTTTGCCTGTGGTCGCAATGGCCTCATATGTGGCCTTAAGCATGCCGTAATGTGTCGTCTGGATTTCTGCCATTTGTTTATTGTGGGCCCTTTCAATTCTGATTAGTTCCTTAGCTGCACGGGATTTTTCTTGCTCTAGGGCTAGCCGGTGACGAGAGCGAGAGTCCGATAACGACAGCACAGTCTCATAGAGTCCTTGTAGGGAGTCATGCACCTCACTTTTGCATTCGCGTTTCATGTTGCCCGCTTTTTCGAGGGCTTCCTTCCCGGAAAGCAAAAACTCATTGGCGCGTTGCGTGGCCAGGTCCATAGAAATACTTGCCCGCTTGTAAGCTGAAGGGAGTATGCTCGACCTTCCACTCTTATTGCTACTGACGATGCTGTCGGCGTCAGACCAATCGTCGTCTGTTTCTCGAACCCGCTTGCATATGCCTAGTGCGTCCATTTCTTTTTCCATATCTCGCGTCAGCGAACTGTTGCCGTCGGATTCCTCTTCTTGTACTACCGAGCTAGGTTGCTTCGTCGGATCACTTTTATGCTCGTTGCACTTGCTGGTCTGTGTCGAGCTGGACGCGTCAATACATGGTTCGCTGACGATAAAACCTCTGGTGGGTTGAGCCTCTTCTGCCGTCTTGCCTGATGTAGATGCGTTTTGTATAAGAACTTTTTTACGCAGAGCAGAGCTGGGAGTTGGGCTGGCGGCTCTACTTGTCTTAGAGGGCCTTGATTTAGTAGACGCAGTGCCTGAGGTGACTGATTTGCTTGACATTTTTATGTCTCAATATGCAAATATTTCTAAAACTGCGACTTACAGGTCAACAGGTCTCTAGCTCTATGTAGAGTCGATTCCTCCTAAGCAGTTAAAAGCGCTCCCCGAGCCCCCCCCCCCAAGGAACCCAAACTCGGTAGGCCTAGCCCAAAGGGTTCAGTAGTTATCGCCCTTTGAAATCTTGGTTACAAAGCACTATGGCTACCAGTTCTTTGGTTAAAACGTTGTATCTCCCGAACGCGTGGGCTTACAGCTCCGTGCCCGGGCTCGTCTAGGTGGGCTCGACCAGGGCTACAATGTGTTATGCTTTTCAGGACACACAAAATTCGGGCTCTGAAAATGCCTGAAAACCTATCAGTCCGTTTCTAAACTCCTTACTATTGTTTGGGTTCGAAATCCCAATCTTCTACGACCCTCCGTTCAGCAGATACAAGCCTTTAAAGTTTTTCAAAATGGCCGCTTAAATGTCAAAGTCGAATTTTGACTGCCGATAACTTTGTTTCTAGTAGTCGCAGAAGATCCGCGTTTCGACCATGCTCCTATACTTTATCTAATCCTTCCACTAAAGTCACTCTCAGAACACTAAAAAATATGGGCTCCAAAAAGCCTGAACTTCGGGGGGTAGGTAGAACTCAATCCCGAAATGCAAGTATCAAAATCCGCAGGTTTCTGCGACGCCTGGGACCGAAGTTCTGGCAGTTTGAAGTTTTTCAAGATGGCCGCCCAGCTGTCAAAAGCTATCTTTAGAAGCCCGTAACTTTAAAACTAAAAGTCGTACGGAGACGGGGTTTGGAATATACAGCTTGGCTGGACCTAAATTGTGTCCTGAAAATGGTTTCAGGAGAAAAAATTTTCTGGCATCCAACACGCCTGAAAACTAATTATTATTATAAACTTTTTGTTCCTAAAGCCTATGTTTAAAATCCGAGGTTTCTACGACCAGGATCTTCGGAGATACAAGCAAATAAGAAATAAAACCAAAGAACCAAATTGTTGATTTTTTTTCTAAAATCGCCAATTTTGGGACTTTTGATGTTGAGTTTGGGCTTAATTAAGTCGTCTTCTATATAATTAGACTATATTTAGTGTCAATTTTAATTTATTTCTATTTATTTACTAGTATTTGAATAAAAGTACATAAAATTTTATATCTTCGAAACCCGATGTCGCAAAAATCCAGAAAAAATTTGATAAATATGGAGAATATATACTTAATCTTATCCTGCACCAATTTTTTAAATTTATATACTATTTTATATAAAAATTTAAAGATAATATTTTTTAACAAAATTAGTTGTTTTATTAATGTTTGCAAGTAAATTTTAAAATTTACTTGCAAACATTAATAAAACAACTAATTTTGAATTTGAATTTTGAATTATTTGTTTTTTTAATGCAAACATTAAAAAAAACAAATAAACGTTTATATAAAGTTTCGGTTAGCGCGCAAAAGATAGCAGTTGCAAAATTTTCGCGAACGCTATACAATCTGAGAAAATTGTGTCCGAATTTTCAATTTTGATAATGTAATAACTTAAAAAATATACAACATAAAAATCAACAGACTGTTTTGAAGCTCTCTTCTTATCTGATTCTTGGGTCTTGAAAATTTTCAGCCCGGTAGCTGCTTCCGTTCTTGATTTTCAGCACCACGTGGTACTTGTTTTTTTGAGGATTACTCCGAAATCCGTGCTCCAAAATTTTTTCTATTGCGCCCAAGAGCTGCAGATCATTAAAGCCCTGCTTGGTGCAGTCGAATTTTGCGGGGGCACTCGTCGAAATCAAAAGATACTGACGTTTAAATGTTTATTTTTCAAAAACTAACCTCAAAAAAGGTAGTTTTCTTGTTCCTGTGCTTCACCAGGAAAAGTCCGGGTTGTTTTCTCAATTCAGGTGTATAGATTTTAGGTTTCCACACCTGCCGACACTTCACTTGTCCAAATCGGACCACAATAACCCACTATTTTGAATTTTTTAATTTGGAGCACGTGCAAAAATGATGCGTTTACGAGCGCGGATCGATTGCAACTGGTTAGGTTAGGTTAGGTTGGGTTAGGTTAGGTTGGGTTAGGTTAGGTTGGGTTAGGTTAGGTTGGGTTAGGTTAGGTTGGGTTAGGTTAGGTTGGGTTAGGTTAGGTTGGGTTAGGTTAGGTTGGGTTAGGTTAGGTTGGGTTAGGTTAGGTTGGGTTAGGTTAGGTTGGGTTAGGTTAGGTTGGGTTAGGTTAGGTTGGGTTAGGTTAGGTTGGGTTAGGTTAGGTTGGGTTAGGTTAGGTTGGGTTAGGTTAGGTTGGGTTAGGTTAGGTTGGGTTAGGTTAGGTTGGGTTAGGTTAGGTTGGGTTAGGTTAGGTTGGGTTAGGTTAGGTTGGGTTAGGTTAGGTTGGGTTAGGTTAGGTTGGGTTAGGTTAGGTTGGGTTAGGTTAGGTTGGGTTAGGTTAGGTTGGGTTAGGTTAGGTTGGGTTAGAATAGGTTGGGTTAGGTTAGGTTGGGTTAGGTTAGGTTGGGTTAGGTTAGGTTGGGTTAGGTTAGGTTTTTTTTTTTTTTTTTTATTTTTATTTTAAAAATGCTTTTCCCCGATCATGGGATCATCGGGTCATTATTAATATTTATTAATCATACATTCCATTTCTCGCATATATTCACACTTTCAGGCCGCATACTTAATCTTTCTTTTATCCATCCACGCTCATTCTTTGCCGGGTGGGACTCCCGCTACTCTATGCTTATTTTTAATTTATTCGGGAAAATTCTTACACTTTATTTTATTTTCTGTTTAGTTACAATATTATTTATACTTAGCATCTTATAATTTCTACATACTTATTTTTATTCAATTTACAAATTTCCTAATTTTACATATTTATTAACTTACAACTATTGTACTTTCTTTTAACTATTTTACTTATCATTATATTTCTTAGTTCCTACGTTTCCTATTTCTTAGTTCTATTTTTAAATTTATAGATCTAAATTCTTTATATACCTAATATTCTCTATTGTCTTATTTCTAACATTCTATTACAGTTTCTTAATTCTATACTTATAATTGTTATTTGTACAACAGTAAGAACATAATATGTTTATATAATAATTAATTTGCAGTTTACAATTTTACCAGATCTTTACTGTAGTACATTCAGCAGGATTAGTGAGTTTCTGTTTTGTTGCATGTGTTTTGTGCTTTCTTTTATATTTTTTAAAAACGCTTTTATCTAGGCAATAACATATATATAATAACTTATACATATTTATTGTCCATTTCTTTTGCCAATTTCATTTCGTACTGTTTTTTCTTTTGTTTTGTGTTACTGTTTGTGGTGTATGTATGTGTTCCTGTGCTGATATAATCGTGTATATATTTAATATACATTCTGTATATCAGTTGTGTTCGTTTTGCCATGTATTTCGTGTTTGTATGTGTCGTGTTTATGTTTCTGTCTGCTTTGTGGTTGTGTGTACGTGTTATGTGATGTCCTGCGTATGGATCAGGCATAGGCTGTGTTTGCACGAGCCAGGTAGTCCCACTTTTTGCGTACCGGGCAGTCAGCACTAAACGCATTGTGGTCGGTCTTCCGCAGCCCAGAGTGTGAGCAATTGCAGCACTGCGGTTCATTTCCTGCGGTAAAGTCTGCGCATTTCTCGCGCAGATGCGGTCCTCCACAGTGACTACATTTGTCCACACTCTCGGTGCAAAATTTCCGACCATGGCCGAATGCGAGGCACTTCGTGCATTGGATGAGCGGAGACTGGTCCTTGACTCTGACCCTTTGGAGGTCCAGATAGAGGGCTCCAGCTTCCGTCATCCTCTGCCATACGTTAGGTTTCACCTGTAGGATTATGTGCAATGTCTTGGGATTTCGTGTGCGTTTTTTAAATTTTACCACCATTTCCTTATCTTCTTCTGGTAGGCCCACGAAAATGTCCTTATTCTGAGCGTAGAGCGCCTTAATCATATCGTCGTCTTCGCTATCCAAAAACACATCTTTAAGGACAACGAGAGGATTTTTTATTTTTCATAGGCGCTACTTTCAGTCCATCCCCGCGACTCTCTATAATTTCTTGGACTTTTTTCATCTCTTCTTCTGTGTCGCAACCCAATATTACCGTTTGGTTCTTGGCCTTACGAACCTTGTTAATTTTAAGGCCAGTACCTCTAGCGTCGACCGCTTTTTTCACCCTGGCGAGCACCTCGTCAGCAGTCTCCAGACCACTTTCGAAGGTGACCGCCATCGAGTGAAGTGCGGGACGGTGGGCTGGTTTGGCTGCTACGACGCTGGCGTATGTCTTAGGGACTGGGGTTATATTTAGTCCGCATGCCAGTCCTTTTGCAACCTCCATGAGTTCTTTTTTGGCTGCGACGACATCATCGGCAATACCACCGACCAGATCTTTAAAGAGAGCCTGCGTTCGACTCTCGGCCTTTTCGGCCGTTTGGTCTACAGCAGCTCTGGTCTCGTCGATCCTGTCGATGATCTTGTCGATCATGTCGGAGCCTCGGTCATCGTTGCTGTTATTGAGTCCTTTTATGTCCGTTTTCAGACTTCGCTCCATCTCATCTATGCGCTCGGTCAGTGCCGCTTCCACCTCTCCCATTTTCCTGAGGATGACATCCTGCCCATTGGACGACGAGATTCTTATAGGTGTCCCTGTTGTTGGGACCTCTGCTTCGAGGCTTTGGATACGCCTACTGAGCTCGAAAATTGCTCGTATGCCTTTATCTGACTGCGCCTCCAGGAAATGTTTTATGTCTCTCCTCATCTGAGGGTACTCCTTGACTTTCGAGGGTATATCCTCGAAGGTTTTCATTATTTCCTGGAGGAGCTGATCACTAGGTAATGCAGCGTAGTTCTCTTGCTGCTTTTTGTATACGTCCATGTTATCGAGTGACCTTCTTTTGGCGTCTGGTCTTTTGATAAAGGTCCTAGCGGCATCCTGCGCTGCTGCGGTTATGGTAGCAGGGCTAGGAGTGGTGGGCTTTTTGGCAGCGCCAGAGGTCGTGGGTGTGCGGTACATGATTATTGTGTGAATGTGTATGAGTACGGTGTATAGTATAAGTTGTTGTATATGGATCAGGGAAAGTTGTCCGTATGTAAAACCCTGTAAAGGGGGGTCTGTGTGTAAAATATGTGTTAGACCCTGTAAAGGGGGGGTCTGTGTCACTTATGAAATAAAAACTAGTCAAAATAAAATAATAAAATAAGGTAGAGTTCAGCTCTACCAAGTTATTTTTACCGTTACAAAGGTAAAAGGGCTTGAGCTAGGGCTTGGGAGCCTTCAGGAGCCAATTTTAGTCAAAATTATAATTCAAAGAAAGTCAAAAAAATTTTTGACTCTACCTAGAGTCTATCCAAGTGATTGCAGTGATAGATCTCTCCGAGCCCCTTCGTTTGAACCCAAACACGACTGTGCCAGCCCTAGGGGTCCCGCAGGAACGGCAGCCCAACTTCTGGTCACCAATCCAAGATGGCCACCAGAATCCGGTTACAAGCGGTTTCTCCGTGACCACCCGTCCGAAACCTGCCGTGCTTGGGGTCTTCCGACCCGGCTCGATGAGCTCTATAACTTGGTGAGGGTTAAAACTGAAAAAATTTTCAGGCCCTGAAAACTCCTGAAGGGTTACTAGGGGAATAGGGGAGGTGCTGCCTTGGCCCCCAGAGAAAACCAGAGCCTTCCACGACCTCCGGTTCGGATACTATCAGCGTCTGAAGTTTGGTTTGACAGTTCAAGAACTGTCAAATCAATCTTCGACCACGGACAATTTTCCTTCCAGTGGTCGTAGAACACCCGTGTTTGTGCTCAATTGGCTTGTTTTGACTCGCTCTATCGTTTCAGGTGCTGTTCGAGGACCCAAAACCCCTCGGCACCAAAACGCTTGAAAAGGAGTTAGGCGGATGGAGACCGTCACCCTGAACTTCACTTAGAAAACCCCAACTCGCTACGACTCCTAGATCGTTAATTATGTCAAATTTAAAATTTTCAAAATGGCCGCCAATTCAGACAACTATAAGTTATTTCAGGCGGCTCTCAACCAATTTGGACCGTGTTTGGGCTCATTTAAAAGGTCTCGGTGTCAAGAGAACAGATAATTAAGTGTGTTGGCGTTTTAAGTCCCCTTTGTATTAATTTTTGACAAAAGTTTTGAAATTTTTTACGAAATTTTGATTTTTATAGCCAATTTTAGCTTTAAAATTCTACGAAAATTTCTGTACAATACTACAGGTATCCTTAATTTATATACATATTTTTATACCTAAAAAACGTTATAATGGGGTAACACGTGGTTAACAAATTTATTTAAAAAATCCTAATTAAAAAACTATCCACAATAAAAATCTGAAAATTTTTATATAACTTTCTAATATTAACCTAAACACTATTTAATTATAAAAACTAGGTGTCCTCGATTTAGATTTTAAAATATTTAATTTTGAAATTTTTACTAAATTTAAAAGTTCAATATTTCCTCAGCCACTTAACTTATTAAAACTCCGAGACTTGCTTCCGGCTCCTCTCCACGCTGGCAACCAGAATGCGACTCCAGAAATAGCCGCACGATTCTCCTTCTCGAAACACGTGCCCACGTGGCACTTGTTTTTTTGCCTTTTTCTCCGAGATTATAGCTCGGAAAATTTTCAAATTTCCCACCTTTGTAGGGGCCGTGAATAGCTTCAGGGCCACACTTTAAAAAACTGGGGTAATCGTGCTTAATCACTCAGCGTTTCACTTTTTAAGTTTTGCAATTTTTCAAATTTCACTTTTTTCACTTTAAGTTTTCCAATTTCACTCCGATTTCC